TATCTTTCCGCTTGTTTCGCCGCCGGAACCGACGCCAGGGCCAGCGCCGCCGCGGGCTGGACACGCTGGGGAGGCAGGTTGGGTCTTCACAGGCGTTCTCGCCGCCCGACGCCGCGGCCGTGGGCGTCGTTGTGGTGGGCATGGTAGTGGTGGGTGAGGTGGGTGAGGCGGGGGGCGAGGAGAGCTCGTCTCCGGAGAAGTTGGACATCCCGTCCTCTGTCTCTTCGCCGACACTGTGGCCGAGGCTTACGTCGCCGCTAGCGATACTGTTCACAGTCACATCTCCGCCGCTGGCGGCACCGCCGAGCGTCATTTCACCGCCATCGCCGTAAGCGTGGTGAGTTGGGTGCGATGTAGAAAAGTCGCTGGCCCCGCCGCCGCGGGAGGAGAAGGTGAGCACCGTGATGTCACCGTGGCCGGTGTGAACGCTGCCGTTGGAGTTACTGGAAGCCTCCACGATCTCATCATCCGACCTCACGGTGACCAGACCGACAGACGGGGAGATGTGGGAGGGTTCAAAGGTCACGGTGACCGGCAGGGGGTCAGCTACCCTGATCCTGTCGTCATCCATCTTTATCTACCCCGGGTGGGAAGGAAAGAACAACACACTGCCTGGGATGGGGTGGGGACGGGGGAAAGCTGGATAGATCCGGAAGTGAACACTTGGATGTGAAGAAGAAAGGTTTGTAAATAAGTTCTACTCCACATGCGGGAACAACAGGTAAATCCTTCCAGGTATCCTGGGTACTCCTACAGAGAAGGGAGCTGGGAAAATCCGGAGGTGAACACTTGGATGAGTGTGTGAGGAGAAGAAATGTTTGTAAGTAAGCTCTTCTCCTCTAAGCAGGACAACAGAGGTAAATCCTTCCAGGTATTTTGAGTACTCATAAAGTGTTAATAAAAAGCAAGCTGCCGGTATGGTGAGTGGCTAGGGCGACGACTGTCCCAAAGCCATCACAGGGAGAGACGCGTTATAAAAATATACAAGTAAGGCACACAGGGAGAAAACTTGTCCGTCTCTGTTACAGGGTTACGTGACAGACATTAGGGGGGTACAGTTAACCTTACACACGTACGTGGGAGACTCCCAAAAGGAAATCTTCTATGGTCGAGTCATGTCATTAAAACCAAGTCACGTCTGCGAATACGTTAGCCCCGTGTGCTGGTTGGGATTGGCCACCTGGAATAACTGAATAATCGTCCAACGTTATTTCATGGTGGTGACGTCATGTACGACTCCGTGACCACTCAGTGACCACTCAGTGACCATTGTCTCTTAAGGTTTAATGTTCAAGGGGGAGAGTACAGCACATGACAGTGCTGCTCTGTTCAGCAGATGTATATCCTGGAAGACAAGATGGTCTGGAACCTTGGAGGGGGGAAAAAACATTACAGTAAGATATGGGGGAATTTAGGGCAATACGTTTTGGGAAATAAAGGGCAATAACTTTTGGGGGTAAGAAAGCACACACTGAGCAAACTACGGCTATGGGTCGGTAGTCCAGGACCCTTGATAGAAAAGGCGA